GCAGAACTGCTTTGCTGTTAGTCGTGATATTCGAGTCAGAACCTGGGCCCCGTACTGACAAAAACAACATTGACACCAAAGAATCCAGAGTGAACCTATCCCTTTCCACCGCAACTGAAATATTGCTCTTCACGGAGAAGTTCCAACGATAACTGCTCCGGAGAGATCTCATTGTTATGTTTCGTTCCAGGTGTTCGACAACGAAAACTGCACTCCACTTCATTACGCTGCAGAACAAGGACATTACGAGATTGTGCAGTTACTGTTGGCCTGCGGAGCCAGAGCTACTACCAGGTGAGCTCCACAGCAAAAAGTCATTCATGCTGCTCGCCAATTCTGGAACGCTTCTAGTGAGGGGATCCAAACAATGAACAAATTTTACTAATTGTACTTCACCATTCTATGCTCTCCATAGAAAGCGCTAAATACGTGGGCGGGGCCATCTGGGGTGGAGTCTGGCTGCCCTGATTCCAAATCGCGAGGTGCTGCCGAAGCAGTGCGGCCAAAGAGGTGTTATAGGCTGCTCGGCATTGCTTGCAGTGCAACAGATATTGCCAATTAGCCACAAAATGTCCCCTGCACAAAGCTAGTTCCTCCATGTCGCGCAACTGGGATCTCACGACACACACCAGGGTTAGGCATGTGTCGCGAAATTCACTGCCCCTTTCAAGATGCTCCTGAAGACAAAGCCGTATACTTACCACCGAAAACGGCACGGGAATATAGGGTTGGCAGCGTGCAAATGCGTTTCAACACTAAAACACTTTCTACGCTCGAAAGCGCACACGAACGGGCCTCTAGCCGCCGCCGCACCTCCCCACCGCGTGATGCTCTGTGGCCGTATTTCGCCAACTGCCCACCGCCCCACGCGCTCCCCCAAGCATGCACCAGTGCGTATGCTGCCAGAATCGCGCAGGGAACCCCAGGCAGGAGGGCAGTCGAGAAAATGGCGAAAGAAAGGGAGCGAAACGGTCAAAATCCTGCGAAGAAGAAAAGCCGTCGTTCTCAATGACTCAAAAAGCAATTTCGGACGAGTTTCCCATAGGCATCTTGCCAATGAAGATACGGCTGTATGTGTCCATGCAGCACCGCGGCCGCTTCATACCAATCCCTTCGCTTCATAATTTGCTTAGCAAATGAATCAATACGAGCGACGGTCGTCCATTTGTGGGCGGGCGGGCGTGGTGGGCGTTTGGGTCGGTATGTTGCAGCTTGATAGGGCCTTATAAGGGTACCTCCCTGGGCAACGGCAGTGCACAACGCCTCCTCAGGGGGGGGGCGGAATTCCGTCCTGCTGGGCGTATTAGTCCTCGTCTTCAGGGATTCATCGTGCCAACTGCCTTTTGAGGCGTGGTCCTGCTGTAACGCGAGCGGAGTCCGTACACGACAGTGTCCCCTTCCCTCAGTATATTACATATAGAAACCGGAAGTCCAGCGCATAGGATGGCAAACACATTTTGGCTAATTCCTTCGGACGCACCTGGCCTGTGAACAGGATGGCCCGCACACGTCGTTTGCGCATCCACCATATAAGACAAAATATTCACTTTCAGTGACAAATGGGATGCCAGTCCCGCGCATTATGCGGCACAATTCAGTGTGAGCTGTCTCGACCTAATACTGGCCAAGAACAATTACGTGGTACGCATTCCTTGTCATTTTGAGCAGTCACTGCTCATAGTTTGAATTTTTGATGAATTCGAGCTCCTATGAGCGACAGTCAAACCATAAATCATTCTCGTTCATCAGCTGATACCGCAAGTCATACGTAGCTTACAGTGTAATTTAGTGTGATAATGACACTACAACTCCTTAGAGGTGGAGTATGCACTGCTTCTCGAAGAGAGCAAACTGTAGAGAACGTCCTCAATAAGGCTCCATCCGATTTTGAGCGTTTTACTTTGGCCCAACGAAGATACACTGATTGCGTAGATGAGAGAGAGCAGACGAAGACGGTCGAGCGAGACCGCTATGCGGGCGTTCCCCTTAAAACAAGGTGTATCGTCACAGACCCAAAAGTCCTGACAAAAAGCCCTTGGCTTTCTGTCAAGGGCTTTTGGGCGTTGTGGTGCAACTTCTGCGATAGCATGCATATTTCCCTTACGCGTGAATTG